TTTTAAACTAGAAGATAAGTCCCTATGCTGGGAACCTCCTAGGCCCAGGAGACAGAGAGTTGTAATTCTGGAGACAGTGAGAAGCTATGCAGCAGCCAAGAAACAGTGGCAGTGGAAGCAGCAGAACCAGGGATTCCCAGCCCACAGAGTGAGAAAACTGAGTGCTTTGGGGCAAGAGGCTTGCTGGCAGAGAGGGGTGCCTCAGGGTAATTCTTGGCAAGCTGAAGAGCTTCCGACCCTGCAGGGCTGAGGCTGAGAGCTACAGAGAGGCCTGCTTGCTGGCAAGGCTGAGAAGAGGCTGTCTTGATCAAAGAACTGCATCTTGAGTCCTTTCTGATCCTGAATTATAACCTGTTACTTCCCTAATAAAGCCTCCATAATCATGAATAGAATCTGTGAGTTCTGTGTGGCCCTTGCAACAAATTATCAAAACCTGCAGAGAAGTGGAGAACTATGTGGGAGGGACAGATGGTGTCAGATTTGGTCAAAAGTTCGGAGAGAGGAGGTATGTCTGACCTTTGCCTCATTTGAATCAGCCTTGGGTTGTTGATGTTGATAATGGCCCTCTTTCTCCCTCAAGAAGGTTCTTGTGAAGTTAAAGGAGGTCAGACGCCTCCACAGCCAAGTCATTTTTACAAAGAGCAAAGAATTAGCTCATCAAATATGATTATATTAATAAGGGAGTCCTCCTTTCTGCAGTCACACCCAAAATTACATTTGTGATATTACTTCTTTTTCCTGCCCAAACGGGTTTGCAATGTGAGTCTATATTCTCATGAGCACACTATCTAAGGGAATCTGTATTAGAAAACTTGTTTATATCTTCTAGGACATCAGATTAATCATGCAGGATGCAGGCCACTGATGCAATGTCCTTGCCACATGGACTTTTGCTAATTCTTCCATCATATGGTGCCACTCCAAGTTGCTCAGCCATTACCAATGCTAGCCATGGATTCAGAACAATGTCTGAAAACACCTATTGGCTTCTGAGATACTTGTCCTTAAAACAAGTAAGTGCTCTGACTAAAAACAGTAGATTTCTGTCTGTTTATTTCCAACACACGAAGATATCTATACCTATATCTATACACAAATCAGAACTTAAGTGTTTCCAAATACAGAAGTATCTTACTGCATAAATAATATCTCTGTATTTGTTACATTTTAGCAAGGCCCACTGGGTGGCTGGAATTATACTGCATTGACCCAGTTATGTAGTTAGCAAAGGAAGGCCTTTCTTCTCCTGTAGGCCTATACCAAAATTAAACCCACTGCCATCAAGTCGGTTTCGACTCATAGCAACCCCTACTGGGGTTGCGCATCTTTATGTAATGCAAATTTTTATGGATTTACATTAAGGCTGTAAATCTTTATAGAAGTCAGTTGCCTCATCTTCCTCCTGAGTAGCAGCTCCTGGTGGGTTTGAACCACTGATCTTCTGGTTAGGAGCCAAATGCCTTCCCCACTACGCCACCAGAGCTCTTTCTGTTGGCCTGTACTATAATGATTTTTTTCACAAAGGAGATTTCACTGCTGAGGGTCTTCCTTATACTTTCTGTCACTCCTTTAATGGGATCTGAGATGGTCTTGCCTTTTAGCAAAGTCCATTCAATTGTAGATCACATTTTCATGTTTACTAAAGTGTCAGAGTAGTTTTCCCCTCTTTAAAATGCAAAAAATAATTCAGAGGACCATACGATCTATTTGTATATATTTTCGGGTTTTTCATGTGCCACA